AGTGATGTATTTAAGACTGTTTGCAAGTTGTTCTGCTGAGGAGTGACAGATAGGCCTCTGGAAACAAAGGACAGTTACTGGAAGAGCTCTGTCATCTAAATGTTCATTATACATATTATTCCCAACATCCAACTCAACTTATAGTAAATTCAGCCGCAATTACCACCTGATCACATTTCTCAGAGTGAATGCAGTTATCTTGAAATTGCATCACCATTTCAAACTCCACTGGCATGGTTACAGAAAGAAAGCCTGGGATTCCAGCAGCCAATCTAAACTGTGGTTAAAGTGGCACAGAAAGTACCACAACCATTACAGCGAGAGAATATGATGTAACAAACTCTTTGGTAGTCATTTCCATGGTTAATTTCAAACCATTTTTTAAATTGATATGACCAAATATTTTAGCGCTTCCGATGCCTACAGTTGACCCCTTTGCTCTAGTTTTCTAATGCTACTTTGTCCTCCCTTTCCTCTGTTCGGATGGACACACTGACCTCATCAAAGCTTAATTTGTTCCTAAAACGCAGTTTAGAAAAGGCTGAATGCATCCAGGGAATTAGGCTACTCCTGCTACAGTGAAGGTGCACTCACATGCCCAGTCTCCATCTTAGGTAATTTCAAAGTAGTTGCACATTTGTAATGGTAACAAAGTCCCATTCAAGAAACACCAGCAATATTTATAATCCCTGGCCGGGGATGGGACAAAGGCCCCAGAAGAACTAGGTGGTAAGATCATTGACAGTTCTTCCCCTTCCCCCTTTTGGTTACTTTTTTCACTTGATCTGTGAACCAAAAAGCACCTGTCAGAGTACTGGAAAAAGAAATAAATACATATGTATATATATTTTGCAGTACACTTATTGCCCCGTTTTCTAGCCAAATATTTTGCATGGACAATATTCAGATTAGCTGAACAGCTACATAGACGACTACCAGACTACCCAAACTAAGGTGGTTGTTTTTTTTTTGGATGGAGTGATTCTTCCGGGAAAAAAATTTAAAATCAAGCCACGCACATGTCTAGTTTACAATATATCAAGAAGAAAATGTAATTATTTCACAAATGAGGTTACAGGGCCCCTATGTTATATTAGGATTTTGTTTAACTCCTGGTCACGAAAGTGTTAAAACCTAAGATCCAATTGATGTCTTTACGAATGACCATATAACATGTAATCAGCTATGTACAGTAGATAATGACAAGCAGCTGTACATAACTAGTGACTGAATAATAAACTAAAAAGAAAGAATGAGAACAATCAGCCATATCACACTCATGGCTACAAATTCTTTAGAGCTCTTCATATAGAATTCTATGGATGAACTATTGTGTCTCTCTGAGAAATATTTGGTGGGTATTGTGTGTCTGGCATATTCAGTATGGGAGAAAACACAAAATACCAGGTTTATGTTCATTCTATCACTCTGCTGTTTATATATGTCCCTTGGGATGTCCTAGAGATTGGGATACATATGTTTGAATTGTATTTTGGCCTGTTTCATATTGAGTATTCCCAATGTTATCCTCTTTACAATGTATTTTTAACATTTTGTATGTGATGTCTATGATATAGAGTTTGACTTGTTTCATTGCTGATCTGGTTTTTAATAAACATAATTTTTAAAAACGTGTTTGTTCTAACAGAGGATAAGGAATATTTTCTAAATTGTTTTTTATTAGCTGGATTTATTTATGGTCCATCTTATTGAATGAATGTTGGCCACAGATCACGAATTAGATAGGATGATGAGAAGTCCTTCTTTGTTCGTATTGATTTTGTGAAGTAAAAGAAAAGTGAAACAAATTTAGGAAGTGTAAGTTAGTGTTAGGAGCAGACAATTGTATTTATTTGGATAAACAGTGTCACAGCAATGATATTTGGAGACATGATGTCTCTCAAAAATACAGAAACAATGGAATAGAAGGCGGCATATAACAACAGTTACTGGATTATATGAAATCATCGACAAAAGAGACAGAGGAAAAACAGTCAGCATGGTAAAAGGAAAGGTGAAAACCTGATGGACCATGAAATGACCTGAAAAAACAGTCCACAAGATCAGTGTCAGGAACACATCCTGTGTAATAAGTATGGAAAAGAGCCCTTCAGACATCTGAAGATAGTTAGTGACTCAGTAAAACACACATTGAGAAATACACAGATTGCAAACAGTTCAAAAGATTGTAACCGATGAAGTTCAGAAAAAGACCAGTTCTAAAAGTTTTTAAAATAGATATGCGAGTCAGTACGGAAGCCTGACCTGCAACAGGGGTTAAGAGGAACATTATTAAATACCAATTTGACCAATGCTTGCGAAAGTGCAAAGTGTAAAATGCATCAAAGATGGCAGCACGTTTTGTAAATTAGATGTGTCACAATTCGCTTCTGAAACATCTTTATGATCATTTCAATTATTTTCTCATTAATTTAGTTTGAAAAGGTAAGCATTTTTTCCTGCCTTTCCTTAACACATCTCCATCATTCGCAAAAGTCAACTTCGGGTAGGTGCATTTAGATGTATGCATTAAACTGGTGAAGTTGCCTTAGAATAGCTGGTATGTTTACCTGAAAAAATAAAATTTATTTTATTTCCTACCATAAAATTTCATAGTGAAGGCATATGCCTACATCAGGCCACTGGGGCAACACAGGGGATAATATAAGAAAATACTAGGGGAGAGGCAATGGGGGCAGTATGGCAACATAATGGTCAATATATATGGCATAAAAACAACACAAAACACTAAACTGGGAATTTTTAAATAACAGCCTATTTATTAATAAATGTTATTTATTTAAACTATTGTTAAAGGAAAACTAAAGGTACCAAGACCACTTCATCTAAATGACGTGGACCGGATGCAGTGGGCCTTTTGTTTAACCAGACGATGTAAAGCATTGCTGTTTAGTAGATATAGCAATGTTTCCATGCCTTTTGTTTAACCAGACGATGTAAAGCATTGCTGTTTAGTAGATATGTCAATGTTTACATGCCTCTATTGGCCGTATTCCTGTCAGCCACTAGAGGCACTTCTGCTGTGAGAAGGAACTGAACCTCCATTTTATTGTGAGAGTGCAGCACTGGTAGGCAGTTTTCATCCCCGATGCTCCTCTACAGGCTGCAATATGATTGGACAAAAAATAAGTATTGGCGTGATGTCGTAAGATGCAGATTGAGCAGCTGCAGGATATGGATTGTGGCCTTTTTCTAGGTTTTATTTGATTTAGGAGGTGGGATGACTTTAAACTACTTGCAGAGGTGACCACTATAACTTTAGGAATACAGGTTGCTATAATGTTCCTTTAACTTCATTACTCTGTGTTTAATTTTTTCCCACCGTCATTAAAAAGGAATCAACACAAATTTCTATTATTGCAAATCATTCGGTAGTGAGGTGGTTAATATTATAGATTTTAAACATAGATATGCATTTCTGATCAGATCAGAGAACAACTATTGTGCTACAAGGAGGGAAACCCAACCCCAAATACAAGTCATACAAAAAAAAGACGCCGGAAACCAAATGACATGGAAAGCAAAACAAAAAGTTCGAAAAATGAATAAGCAATGGATAAATGCCAGTTTAATGTCACAGGAGCCTTCACTACTATATTCTTTGCCCTGTTCTGCTGTCAAGAAAATCACGAGGGTGGGTGTTCAATACAGCTGTGATACTGCAGAGGTTTGTCATTTTCATTTCATATAATGTTCAATTAGCCATTAAAGCGGCTCTGTCACCTTCTGGGTTCTTTGCCTATTTTGCAAAGGCCCCTGAAGTTGACATCGCCGCTTGGTGTGTGGTAG